TTTCCTATTCGCACCTCTTCTCTCTGTCCCCACTCTGCCATCCTGCCCTCCACCCTCATCACCACCATACGCCATCAGCTGTGCGTCTCCTTGCTCTCACTCCCTTTCTCTTCTCCCCGTCTCCCCGCCACCCCTCCCCCCAACCCCACCTCCACCCCTCCCGTGTGTGACGGGCATCAGACGCGGAGAGGGTGTGGGCGTTGTTCGAGAGCGGGTGCTCGCTGCGAGTGCTGCACCCGCAGCTGTGGAGCGACCACCTGTGGCTGCTGCTGGGCGCGCTGGAGCACCACTGGCAGGGCAACGTGGGTGCGGGGGGGGGGAGCCACAAGGGGAATGCATGCATGCTTTGTCGGATGGATGGATGGATGGATGGATGGATGGATGGATGGATGGATGGATGGATGGATGGATGGATGGATGGATGGATGGATGGATGGATGGATGGAATCTTTGAGAGAAGGACGGTTGGATATTGCGTGGATGGATGGGTGGATCCATAGGTGAAGAGCTGACGTGGGGGCGGAATACGGGAGAGGGAAGGGGTGTTCGGTTGACTGGCTTGTTTGATTGCTGCGTGAAGGGGGGTAGAGGCGCAGGGAATGCAGTGTGTGCCTTTCAGTTGCGCACGTGACCATGTGTGCAGGCCATCATGTCGCACTCTGTCAAGTCGCAGCATGCACACCAGTGCGCCCACTGCCACGGGCGCCCACTGCCGCGGGTGGCTACTCTTTCATGCCGCAGCTCACCTGCTTCCTCGCAGTTACCTCGCTGCAACCAACCACCGCACCACTCGCCCACTCCCATCCCATCTCTCACCACCCTCACTCACGCGCACGTTTCCCCTCTCATGCATATGTGTGTGTGTGTGTGTGTGCGTGCATCCCCATGCATCCATGTGCACGCATATCCATCCACGCCCATGCATGCATGCATGTGTTTGAGCAGGCTGCAACGTGTACCTGACCCCGCCGGCATCGCAGGGTTTCAGCCCGCACTACGATGACATCGATGCCTTCGTGCTGCAGATCGAGGGGTGCAAGCGCTGGCGCTGCTACCAGGGGGTCAAAGGGGAGCAGGAGGATGGCGAGGACGAGGACGAGAACGCAGGGGAAGGGGACAGGGATGGTGAGAGGGGGGACGAGGAGGCAGGGGGGGAGGAGGGGTTGCTGCCGCGCTTTTCGAGTCGGGATTTCCAGCAGCAGGAGCTGATACAGCCGCCCATTCTGGATGTGGTGCTGCGCCCGGGCGACCTCCTGTGAGCGCCCTGCCACTTCGTCCCTTCCCCCATCCATGCATCGTGCTACCCTTGCAGCCTCGCTGTTGGAGGCGCCTAAAAACTCACCCCGTGCATCGTGATACCCTTGCAACCTCGCCTTTCTCCCTGCCTTCCTCCCATCCTATCCGCATGCCGTTCCCCGTGTTCTTCCACCAGCGCACACCCATCCCTGTCCCTTTCCCTGTGTGCGTGCATGTGTGCCTGTGTGTGTGCGTGCATGCAGGTACATGCCGCGGGGCATCATACACCAGGCAGAGGCAGTGGACCACCAGCACTCGCTGCACCTCACCATCTCCGCCTGTCCGTGCCACTCCCCTGCGGTCCTTCGACTTCCAGTACTCCTCGCCACAGTCCACTCCTCTGCCTACCGGTCACTCGCTCTGAGCTCTGCCTTCGGATGAGTCCATAGAGCCGAGTGGCCTGTATCCAGAGCTTGTGGGCTGCCTCATGTACCTGATGACCTGCACTCGACCTGACCTTGCTTACCCTCTTAGCATCCTGGCACGCTACGTTGCGCCCGGGAAACACCGACCAGAGCACTGGAAGGCCGCTAAGAGGGTGATGCGCTACTTGTGCAGTACGTCGGGCATGGGGCTCGTGCTTGGGGGATGGGCTCGAGTTGTTCTCACTGGTCACGCAGACGCTTCTTGGGTTGACGACTTGGCCACGCAGCGGTCGTCACAGGGTTACACCTTCAGTCTTAGCTCCGGTTCTGTTTCGTGGCGGTCTACCCGCTCGTCTTCTGTTCTCAGCTCCAGTTGTGAGGCTGAGATCTACGTAGGGGCCATGGCTGCACAGGAGTTACGCTGGCTCACCTACCTGCTGACCTACCTGCTAGCCGCCTCGTTCTCCTCCAATTCTGTACGTCGACAACAAGGCCATGATTGCCTTGTGTCAGGAGCACAGACTGGAGCACAGAACGAAGCACATCGCTCTGCGCTACTTCCTTGCTCGAGAGTTGCAGCAGCGTGGTCAGCTTCGTCTTGTTTACGTGGCCTCTCAGGCCAACACTGCTGATATCTTCACCAAGGCACTTCAGCCTTGTGATCATCAGCGTTTCTGTACTGTTCTAGGCCTTGTGCCTACTTGGCCTCACTTGCTCACTTCTTGACTTTGCTTGTACTGTGATCTATATACTTATACCTGCATGCTTACACTTGCTAGGTTGTGATCACTGTACTGCTTGTTCTCCTTTATATATAACTCTGCATGTGAACTGGCCTTGTGGCCTTTTACTTGTGCTCAGAATGCGTGGTGACTTCGTGATCCACCCTGAGCTTGCTTTGCTTGTCTTGACTGGTCTTGTGACCGCTTGTTCTCCCCCACTTTGCCTATGGGGGTGTGTCAAACATATATGCTGCTTATTGTGTAGGCTGTAGTGGGGTAGCCCATATGGGGTACAACCCAATTAGGGTTTCCTACTTGTACCCATCCTACTGCTAGTTCATTCATTCCTGTTCGTTATTCTGACATTTTTTTTGTGGTGTTTGTTTGATAAGTAATGATTTTTGTTTGCTTGTTTTAAATTTTATTTACAGATTACGAGTTACCATATCGCGGTTTCACTGTCTGGAATTGTAAACGTCGCTACTATAAACAGAAATGCGCATTCTGTGGGGTACACGTGGAAAGTCAGTATCGTTTCGCTGAGTCAAACCTGACTTGTACGGTGTACAGTTTGGTTGGAACGCGAAGTTACCAGCCAGGATTTCCGGATGCACTGTTCATTATCGTGCAGGCAATAATGTTGACCATCTGGGCATGATGGTTACCATCGTGGCGATAAGAAGACATCTCTGTTACGATTTGGACACGTAGCTTACCTCGCGTGCGAGCGAGCTCCATGAGTGTTACCGCTAAGATAAATGCCCAAAAAGAAAAACACACCTCAACCACCTTCTCGCCACCAAAGTGAAAAATCTAGCCACCTCCTCATAACTCCATTCGTGTTTTTTTCTTCATAAAATACCCTAGTGCAACTAAATACCCTTGTAAAGCAAGCCCCTGGTCTTGAATTACCCCTGTGATGGGCGCGCGAAATTCTGGGCACAGTTCGTCATTTCCCTTGGGAAACTACCACCCCAAATGTGAAATTTCCCATCTAGCGGCCCTGTTCGATATGCAGGCAAGCCCTTCCGTGGAATTGTCGTGGCTGTTTCGACTTTGGGTTTTTTTTGCCTTGAAGGGTTAGTGTTAGCCTGTCGAACGCTACTTTAACCCCTCAACTTCATCCCCCCCGAAAGCTCCAAGTACCTTCTCACACGCACAGGTTTGAGCCTAGCTCCAGCCCAGCCCTCGCACCCCTAAAATGGGGGTCTGCCAAGGGATAGGCTAGGGTTCCATATTGGAGGGGATACGCACCCCATACCCCACGAAAGTTTTCGTGGCTGGGCCCATGCTCCAACCTCACCCATCTCTGCCCTGAAAAAGTCCCCCTCCTCCCACAACCAAACCATGTGTGGGTTTTTTTTCACCCCTGATTTACCCTGGTTCACGTGGGGAACGGCGTAAAAGTTTTGACCCTGCCCACGATGACGATGGTGGAAGGAGGGGTTGCAACATCGTCTAGACGACCCCCTCCTTCCGATCTCGCGCTGGGCTGCTTCCGGGCGATGTTCGGCAGCCAGGGGAGGGGGTTTGAAGGAGGATCAAAATGGCAGACCTCCAGGCTCGACCAGTACGAACCAGGCAAAACACTTCGGTCAGGCTAGAAAAATGTGAAAAAAATGTCGAACGTAAGCCTAAAACGCGACGCGAACACCACGCTAGGTTGTAACTCGCGCCGCATCCTCCCCCAAAACCTCCCCCGTGGCGGAAAAAATCCGCCCTAGTGCCCAGGGAATCCAAATTGCACTCCCGTGAGTGGCCTCACCCACGGGGGATGTAAAATGGATTCCCTCAACGACGAAATTGTTTTATGATTATACCCCACACTCTAAACTGACGGGTAAACCGGACATCGGAAATGTATTGCAAAACAGTTGTATTCAATAAGGTAAAATGGGTGAGTACGACATTTAGGGCATTCATTTTAATTTATGGTGTTAAATGTTTTCGGGAAGTGATATACCCAATCCCATAGCAACAGTAAAATTAGGCAGGGAGAAGAAAAACTGTTCAGCTCGCGAAGTTTCGTTTCGTGCGGCTGCAGTTTAGTGGGCCCCCAGTACCCGCGTCGCTCATCCGCGCCTTTTCCCCCAAAGGTTCCGCTTGCGCCTGGACCCCAGACTTGGAGTCAACGTTGGTTGACTCCGAGTTGACCACCCCGAACTAGAAACCCTAGCTGAGAATTTCGATCCCTCCCTCCATCCCTCGGTGGATCCTCTGTGCTGCCGAACATCGCCCCGATCTCGGGAGGGGGGGGGGTAGCCCTTCAGTGATTTCTCCGAACCCTCCTCCAAACGCTAGCCTAACGCTAGCCCTGCAAGGAGGTGTCTGCCTATCGAACAGGGCCAGCATGTTTGCCCAGGGGGTGAAAAACGACCTCGGAACACATGTCGGAACCCTCCTCAGTTCCATTCTCCCGCCCTCCTCCCCCAATCGTCAGTTGCCTGCAGAACGGCACCATTACCTCCATCCCTTCACTTGTCAAATCCTGCCCCTGGCCAAGTTACCCTGCATTCGTCGAGGCGACACAACCCAGTAGCGGAGCAGCCAGCAGCGGAGGCTGTCATCAGCGAGGCAGGAGAGCAGCGGGGCGGCGACAAGGAATCACCACCGTGCGATGGAGCCGGGCGAGCTGCCGGCGGATCTGACCGTCGCACACGCGGACCGCGTCGACGTGGTTGTCGACGACGCGCCGGACCGCGCACCCGCTGACGTGGCGGCGAGGGAGCGCGAGTGGAGCGGCGAGGGCGGGCGGCGCGCGTGCGGCGATAGGGCGAGCGGCGATCGCGCGTTCCAGTGGCTGCTGGCGCCCGTGTCGCCCGCGCGGTTCTACGAGCAGTGGTGGGAGCGCCGCGTGGGCCTCGTGCTTCGCCCGCTCAGCAGGTTGTGTGAGCGACGTGTTGGGGGAGGGTTTAACAGGGGGGGATGGGGGGGTGAGGGTTTTATGGGTTTACTTTTGGGAGAATTAAGAAGAGAGACCTATGGGAGTTCCGATGAAGGTGGATAAGAGATTTGGACGGGAAGTCTTTTAATGAATTTCACCTTTTCCTTCTTCCCCTAACTCTTGTCCTCTCGCTCTCATTCTCCCGCCTACCCTCTCTCGTCTACCCTTCCCACTCTACCCTATCTACCTCGTGCTTCCCTCTCACCACACCCGCTTCTCCTCCCCTTTGTCCCCTCCTTGTTCCCTCCCCCTTCCTCCCCTCCTCACCCTGCCCCCACACGCCCCCCCATCCCCACCTCCCGTTCCCCCCGCCATTGGAAGCAGGGGCGGGGGTGGCCTGGGCGCGCGGACGTGGACAAGCCTTTTTTCCCCCCTCCTCCTTCGCCTCCGCTCACTCCCTCTCCCTGCTCCTTCCGCTTCCCTCCAACCCCCATAGGGAGTACTACGGGGGGTGGTTCGGGCGTGCTGACGTGGACAAGCTATTGAGGGCGGGCGTGCTGCGCTATGGCACCAACATCGATGTCGTGCGGTACAGTGCGGTGCACGGCGGTGCACGGGAGACGCTTAATGGGGAGGGCGTGGCAGGTTTGTTGTGGCAGGGGCGGGCTGGGAAGTGCGGTGGGGGGAGGGCGTTTGAGTCGAAGGAGTGATGGAGAGGGGAGGGGGCAGTGCAGAGAAGTGAGAAGGCGGCTGGGTTATGGTAATGGCTGGGAACTGAAAGCGTGGAATGCGTGTGTGAATGTGGTGGGTGGAGTGGTGGTGAGCGGTGCCGTAGTGTTGAGTTGCGTTTGGGCTGGCTGAGTGGGTCTTTTTAATCCACGAGCTGTGCTGGGCGGTGCTGCTGCCCACTGCATGTGTCTGTTTCTCCTCCATTCCCTGTCGTCTTCCTCTCTGCCTTGCCGCCACATGCCCTCATGATCTCCCCACTTCTCTCTCCGTCTGCTCTCCCCTCTCTCCTTTCTTTCCTATTCGCACCTCTTCTCTCTGTCCCCACTCTGCCATCCTGCCCTCCACCCTCATCACCACCATACGCCATCAGCTGTGCGTCTCCTTGCTCTCACTCCCTTTCTCTTCTCCCCGTCTCCCCGCCACCCCTCCCCCCAACCCCACCTCCACCCCTCCCGTGTGTGACGGGCATCAGACGCGGAGAGGGTGTGGGGGTTGTTCGAGAGCGGGTGCTCGCTGCGAGTGCTGCACCCGCAGCTGTGGAGCGACCACCTGTGGCTGCTGCTGGGCGCGCTGGAGCACCACTGGCAGGGCAACGTGGGTGCGGGGGGGGGGAGCCACAAGGGGAATGCATGCATGCTTTGTCGGATGGATGGATGGATGGATGGATGGATGGATGGATGGATGGATGGATGGATGGATGGATGGATGGATGGATGGATGGATGGATGGATGGATGGATGGATGGATGGATGGAATCTTTGAGAGAAGGACGGTTGGATATTGCGTGGATGGATGGGTGGATCCATAGGTGAAGAGCTGACGTGGGGGCGGAATACGGGAGAGGGAAGGGGTGTTCGGTTGACTGGCTTGTTTGATTGCTGCGTGAAGGGGGGTAGAGGCGCAGGGAATGCAGTGTGTGCCTTTCAGTTGCGCACGTGACCATGTGTGCAGGCCATCATGTCGCACTCTGTCAAGTCGCAGCATGCACACCAGTGCGCCCACTGCCACGGGCGCCCACTGCCGCGGGTGGCTACTCTTTCATGCCGCAGCTCACCTGCTTCCTCGCAGTTACCTCGCTGCAACCAACCACCGCACCACTCGCCCGCTCCCATCCCATCTCTCACCACCCTCACTCACGCGCACGTTTCCCCTCTCATGCATATGTGTGTGTGTGTGTGTGTGTGCGTGCATCCCCATGCATCCATGTGCACGCATATCCATCCACGCCCATGCATGCATGCATGTGTTTGAGCAGGCTGCAACGTGTACCTGACCCCGCCGGCATCGCAGGGTTTCAGCCCGCACTACGATGACATCGATGCCTTCGTGCTGCAGATCGAGGGGTGCAAGCGCTGGCGCTGCTACCAGGGGGTCAAAGGGGAGCAGGAGGATGGCGAGGACGAGGACGAGAACGCAGGGGAAGGGGACAGGGATGGTGAGAGGGGGGACGAGGAGGCAGGGGGGGAGGAGGGGTTGCTGCCGCGCTTTTCGAGTCGGGATTTCCAGCAGCAGGAGCTGATACAGCCGCCCATTCTGGATGTGGTGCTGCGCCCGGGCGACCTCCTGTGAGCGCCCTGCCACTTCGTCCCTTCCCCCATCCATGCATCGTGCTACCCTTGCAGCCTCGCTGTTGAGATGATTTTTGAGGCGCCTAAAAACTCACCCCGTGCATCGTGATACCCTTGCAACCTCGCCTTTCTCCCTGCCTTCCTCCCATCCTATCCGCATGCCGTTCCCCGTGTTCTTCCACCAGCGCACACCCATCCCTGTCCCTTTCCCTGTGTGCGTGCATGTGTGCCTGTATGTGTGCGTGCATGCAGGTACATGCCGCGGGGCATCATACACCAGGCAGAGGCAGTGGACCACCAGCACTCGCTGCACCTCACCATCTCCGCCTGTCCGTGCCACTCCCCTGCGGTCCTTCGACTTCCAGTACTCCTCGCCACAGTCCACTCCTCTGCCTACCGGTCACTCGCTCTCAGCTCTGCCTTCGGATGAGTCCATAGAGCCGAGTGGCCTGTATCCAGAGCTTGTGGGCTGCCTCATGTACCTGATGACCTGCACTCGACCTGACCTTGCTTACCCTCTTAGCATCCTGGCACGCTACGTTGCGCCCGGGAAACACCGACCAGAGCACTGGAAGGCCGCTAAGAGGGTGATGCGCTACTTGTGCAGTACGTCGGGCATGGGGCTCGTGCTTGGGGGATGGGCTCGAGTTGTTCTCACTGGTCACGCAGACGCTTCTTGGGTTGACGACTTGGCCACGCAGCGGTCGTCACAGGGTTACACCTTCAGTCTTAGCTCCGGTTCTGTTTCGTGGCGGTCTACCCGCTCGTCTTCTGTTCTCAGCTCCAGTTGTGAGGCTGAGATCTACGTAGGGGCCATGGCTGCACAGGAGTTACGCTGGCTCACCTACCTGCTGACCTACCTGCTAGCCGCCTCGTTCTCCTCCAATTCTGTACGTCGACAACAAGGCCATGATTGCCTTGTGTCAGGAGCACAGACTGGAGCACAGAACGAAGCACATCGCTCTGCGCTACTTCCTTGCTCGAGAGTTGCAGCAGCGTGGTCAGCTTCGTCTTGTTTACGTGGCCTCTCAGGCCAACACTGCTGATATCTTCACCAAGGCACTTCAGCCTTGTGATCATCAGCGTTTCTGTACTGTTCTAGGCCTTGTGCCTACTTGGCCTCACTTGCTCACTTCTTGACTTTGCTTGTACTGTGATCTATATACTTATACCTGCATGCTTACACTTGCTAGGTTGTGATCACTGTACTGCTTGTTCTCCTTTATATATAACTCTGCATGTGAACTGGCCTTGTGGCCTTTTACTTGTGCTCAGAATGCGTGGTGACTTCGTGATCCACCCTGAGCTTGCTTTGCTTGTCTTGACTGGTCTTGTGACCGCTTGTTCTCCCCCACTTTGCCTATGGGGGTGTGTCAAACATATATGCTGCTTATTGTGTAGGCTGTAGTGGGGTAGCCCATATGGGGTACAACCCAATTAGGGTTTCCTACTTGTACCCATCCTACTGCTAGTTCATTCATTCCTGTTCGTTATTCTGACATTTTTTTTGTGGTGTTTGTTTGATAAGTAATGATTTTTGTTTGCTTGTTTTAAATTTTATTTACAGATTACGAGTTACCATATCGCGGTTTCACTGTCTGTAATTGTAAACGTCGCTACTATAAACAGAAATGCGCATTCTGTAGGGTACACGTGGAAAGTCAGTATCGTTTCGCTGAGTCAAACCTGACTTGTACGGTGTACAGTTTGGTTGGAACGCGAAGTTACCAGCCAGGATTTCCGGATGCACTGTTCATTATCGTGCAGGCAATAATGTTGACCATCTGGGCATGATGGTTACCATCGTGGCGATAAGAAGACATCTCTGTTACGATTTGGACACGTAGCTTACCTCGCGTGCGAGCGAGCTCCATGAGTGTTACCGCTAAGATAAATGCCCAAAAAGAAAAACACACCTCAACCACCTTCTCGCCACCAAAGTGAAAAATCTAGCCACCTCCTCATAACTCCATTCGTGTTTTTTTCTTCATAAAATACCCTAGTGCAACTAAATACCCTTGTAAAGCAAGCCCCTGGTCTTGAATTACCCCTGTGATGGGCGCGCGAAATTCCGGGCACAGTTCGTCATTTCCCTTGGGAAACTACCACCCCAAATGTGAAATTTCCCATCTAGCGGCCCTGTTCGATATGCAGGCAAGCCCTTCCGTGGAATTGTCGTGGCTGTTTCGACTTTGGGTTTTTTTGCCTTGAAGGGTTAGTGTTAGCCTGTCGAACGCTACTTTAACCCCTCAACTTCATCCCCCCCGAAAGCTCCAAGTACCTTCTCACACGCACAGGTTTGAGCCTAGCTCCAGCCCAGCCCTCGCACCCCTAAAATGGGGGTCTGCCAAGGGATAGGCTAGGGTTCCATATTGGAGGGGATACGCACCCCATACCCCACGAAAGTTTTCGTGGCTGGGCCCATGCTCCAACCTCACCCATCTCTGCCCTGAAAAAGTCCCCCTCCTCCCACAACCAAACCATGTGTGGGTTTTTTTTCACCCCTGATTTACCCTGGTTCACGTGGGGAACGGCGTAAAAGTTTTGACCCTGCCCACGATGACGATGGTGGAAGGAGGGGTTGCAACATCGTCTAGACGACCCCCTCCTTCCGATCTCGCGCTGGGCTGCTTCCGGGCGATGTTCGGCAGCCAGGGGAGGGGGTTTGAAGGAGGATCAAAATGGCAGACCTCCAGGCTCGACCAGTACGAACCAGGCAAAACACTTCGGTCAGGCTAGAAAAATGTGAAAAAAATGTCGAACGTAAGCCTAAAACGCGACGCGAACACCACGCTAGGTTGTAACTCGCGCCGCATCCTCCCCCAAAACCTCCCCCGTGGCGGAAAAAATCCGCCCTAGTGCCCAGGGAATCCAAATTGCACTCCCGTGAGTGGCCTCACCCACGGGGGATGTAAAATGGATTCCCTCAACGACGAAATTGTTTTATGATTATACCCCACACTCTAAACTGACGGGTAAACCGGACATCGGAAATGTATTGCAAAACAGTTGTATTCAATAAGGTAAAATGGGTGAGTACGACATTTAGGGCATTCATTTTAATTTATGGTGTTAAATGTTTTCGGGAAGTAATATACCCAATCCCATAGCAACAGTAAAATTAGGCAGGGAGAAGAAAAACTGTTCAGCTCGCGAAGTTTCGTTTCGTGCGGCTGCAGTTTAGTGGGCCCCCAGTACCCGCGTCGCTCATCCGCGCCTTTTCCCCCAAAGGTTCCGCTTGCGCCTGGACCCCAGACTTGGAGTCAACGTTGGTTGACTCCGAGTTGACCACCCCGAACTAGAAACCCTAGCTGAGAATTTCGATCCCTCCCTCCATCCCTCGGTGGATCCTCTGTGCTGCCGAACATCGCCCCGATCTCGGGAGGGGGGGGGTAGCCCTTCAGTGATTTCTCCGAACCCTCCTCCAAACGCTAGCCTAACGCTAGCCCTGCAAGGAGGTGTCTGCCTATCGAACAGGGCCAGCATGTTTGCCCAGGGGGTGAAAAACGACCTCGGAACACATGTCGGAACCCTCCTCAGTTCCATTCTCCCGCCCTCCTCCCCCAATCGTCAGTTGCCTGCAGAACGGCACCATTACCTCCATCCCTTCACTTGTCAAATCCTGCCCCTGGCCAAGTTACCCTGCATTCGTCGAGGCGACACAACCCAGTAGCGGAGCAGCCAGCAGCGGAGGCTGTCATCAGCGAGGCAGGAGAGCAGCGGGGCGGCGACAAGGAATCACCACCGTGCGATGGAGCCGGGCGAGCTGCCGGCGGATCTGACCGTCGCACACGCGGACCGCGTCGACGTGGTTGTCGACGACGCGCCGGACCGCGCACCCGCTGACGTGGCGGCGAGGGAGCGCGAGTGGAGCGGCGAGGGCGGGCGGCGCGCGTGCGGCGATAGGGCGAGCGGCGATCGCGCGTTCCAGTGGCTGCTGGCGCCCGTGTCGCCCGCGCGGTTCTACGAGCAGTGGTGGGAGCGCCGCGTGGGCCTCGTGCTTCGCCCGCTCAGCAGGTTGTGTGAGCGACGTGTTGGGGGAGGGTTTAACAGGGGGGGATGGGGGGGTGAGGGTTTTATGGGTTTACTTTTGGGAGAATTAAGAAGAGAGACCTATGGGAGTTCCGATGAAGGTGGATAAGAGATTTGGACGGGAAGTCTTTTAATGAATTTCACCTTTTCCTTCTTCCCCTAACTCTTGTCCTCTCGCTCTCATTCTCCCGCCTACCCTCTCTCGTCTACCCTTCCCACTCTACCCTATCTACCTCGTGCTTCCCTCTCACCACACCCGCTTCTCCTCCCCTTTGTCCCCTCCTTGTTCCCTCCCCCTTCCTCCCCTCCTCACCCTGCCCCCACACGCCCCCCCATCCCCACCTCCCGTTCCCCCCGCCATTGGAAGCAGGGGCGGGGGTGGCCTGGGCGCGCGGACGTGGACAAGCCTTTTTTCCCCCCTCCTCCTTCGCCTCCGCTCACTCCCTCTCCCTGCTCCTTCCGCTTCCCTCCAACCCCCATAGGGAGTACTACGGGGGGTGGTTCGGGCGTGCTGACGTGGACAAGCTATTGAGGGCGGGCGTGCTGCGCTATGGCACCAACATCGATGTCGTGCGGTACAGTGCGGTGCACGGCGGTGCACGGGAGACGCTTAATGGGGAGGGCGTGGCAGGTTTGTTGTGGCAGGGGCGGGCTGGGAAGTGCGGTGGGGGGAGGGCGTTTGAGTCGAAGGAGTGATGGAGAGGGGAGGGGGCAGTGCAGAGAAGTGAGAAGGCGGCTGGGTTATGGTAATGGCTGGGAACTGAAAGCGTGGAATGCGTGTGTGAATGTGGTGGGTGGAGTGGTGGTGAGCGGTGCCGTAGTGTTGAGTTGCGTTTGGGCTGGCTGAGTGGGTCTTTTTAATCCACGAGCTGTGCTGGGCGGTGCTGCTGCCCACTGCATGTGTCTGTTTCTCCTCCATTCCCTGTCGTCTTCCTCTCTGCCTTGCCGCCACATGCCCTCATGATCTCCCCACTTCTCTCTCCGTCTGCTCTCCCCTCTCTCCTTTCTTTCCTATTCGCACCTCTTCTCTCTGTCCCCACTCTGCCATCCTGCCCTCCACCCTCATCACCACCATACGCCATCAGCTGTGCGTCTCCTTGCTCTCACTCCCTTTCTCTTCTCCCCGTCTCCCCGCCACCCCTCCCCCCAACCCCACCTCCACCCCTCCCGTGTGTGACGGGCATCAGACGCGGAGAGGGTGTGGGCGTTGTTCGAGAGCGGGTGCTCGCTGCGAGTGCTGCACCCGCAGCTGTGGAGCGACCACCTGTGGCTGCTGCTGGGCGCGCTGGAGCACCACTGGCAGGGCAACGTGGGTGCGGGGGGGGGGAGCCACAAGGGGAATGCATGCATGCTTTGTCGGATGGATGGATGGATGGATGGATGGATGGATGGATGGATGGATGGATGGATGGATGGATGGATGGATGGATGGATGGATGGATGGATGGATGGATGGATGGATGGATGGATGGATGGATGGATGGAATCTTTGAGAGAAGGACGGTTGGATATTGCGTGGATGGATGGGTGGATCCATAGGTGAAGAGCTGACGTGGGGGCGGAATACGGGAGAGGGAAGGGGTGTTCGGTTGACTGGCTTGTTTGATTGCTGCGTGAAGGGGGGTAGAGGCGCAGGGAATGCAGTGTGTGCCTTTCAGTTGCGCACGTGACCATGTGTGCAGGCCATCATGTCGCACTCTGTCAAGTCGCAGCATGCACACCAGTGCGCCCACTGCCACGGGCGCCCACTGCCGCGGGTGGCTACTCTTTCATGCCGCAGCTCACCTGCTTCCTCGCAGTTACCTCGCTGCAACCAACCACCGCACCACTCGCCCACTCCCATCCCATCTCTCACCACCCTCACTCACGCGCACGTTTCCCCTCTCATGCATATGTGTGTGTGTGTGTGTGTGCGTGCATCCCCATGCATCCATGTGCACGCATATCCATCTACGCCCATGCATGCATGCATGTGTTTGAGCAGGCTGCAACGTGTACCTGACCCCGCCGGCATCGCAGGGTTTCAGCCCGCACTACGATGACATCGATGCCTTCGTGCTGCAGATCGAGGGGTGCAAGCGCTGGCGCTGCTACCAGGGGGTCAAAGGGGAGCAGGAGGATGGCGAGGACGAGGACGAGAACGCAGGGGAAGGGGACAGGGATGGTGAGAGGGGGGACGAGGAGGCAGGGGGGGAGGAGGGGTTGCTGCCGCGCTTTTCGAGTCGGGATTTCCAGCAGCAGGAGCTGATACAGCCGCCCATTCTGGATGTGGTGCTGCGCCCGGGCGACCTCCTGTGAGCGCCCTGCCACTTCGTCCCTTCCCCCATCCATGCATCGTGCTACCCTTGCAGCCTCGCTGTTGAGATGATTTTTGAGGCGCCTAAAAACTCACCCCGTGCATCGTGATACCCTTGCAACCTCGCCTTTCTCCCTGCCTTCCTCCCATCCTATCCGCATGCCGTTCCCCGTGTTCTTCCACCAGCGCACACCCATCCCTGTCCCTTTCCCTGTGTGCGTGCATGTGTGCCTGTGTGTGTGCGTGCATGCAGGTACATGCCGCGGGGCATCATACACCAGGCAGAGGCAGTGGACCACCAGCACTCGCTGCACCTCACCATCTCCGCCTGTCCGTGCCACTCCCCTGCGGTCCTGCTCGCTTTACTGGCACGCGCTCACACCTGCTGCTCCGTTTGCCTTTCCTCTCACCTTGCCTATCGTTCTGCTGCCATTGATCTGTGCTCCCTTTGCTTCTCCTTGAGCTCCTCACCTTGCTCCACGTTCCCTCCCCTCACACGCTTCCATTTTCCCCCCTCTTCCAACCCGTGCTTCCGTCACCCCTATTGTGTGCCCCTCCCACTGTTCTCCACTCCACCCCTCAGCACAGCGCAACACAATGGCAGACTTTCTGCACCTCGCACTGCCGCGTGCCATAGAGGTGAGTGAGAGCCCCCTGTGGGAAGGAGTTGCACAGGAAAGAAAGTAGTGACTAGTAGCACGCGACTTTCAAAAAGCTCCAAATGCTTCCTCTTCCGCCGGGGCTCCGTCTCTCAGAACGCCCTCTCGCCAAGCAGCCTCTGCACGGCCTCTGCTCGCGGGTGCACCCCTGGCCCAGCCTGCTCCAACGCCACTTGCCCAATCCACATCATGTATCGTGCCTGCCATTCCTTCCCCCCCTTGCGCAACCCTTTGCGCATGTGCACTGACCACCGTGTCCACGTCTCAACCCCCCTCCACGGCAGGTAGCAGCAGAGGAGCACGTGCTGCTGCGGCACAGCCTGCCACGCCACCTCTTTGACTTCATGGGCGTCATGCACGCCCCGCCACTCCCTGACACTCCCAGCAACAGCAACGGCAACGGCGACAGCGACGGGGACGACTCGCCAACGCACCTGAGCAAGCATGCTGCTGGAGGGGATCCGCGGCGTGCTGCGTTCCTGCAGCGCGTGCAGCAGGCAGTGCACCTCGTGGCTGCATGCGGCCCCTGGGACTCCGCCGCTGACCAGATGGCCTCCGCTTTCCTCCGCTCTCGCCTCCCCCCCTTCCGTGCGTCCGCTCTCTCCGCCTCTGCGCCCACTGCCTCTCAGCAAGCCCAGGGGGGACGTGGGACGGGTGCTGGGGCAGTGGGCAAGGGGCAAGGGGGAAAGGTGCAGAAGAAGTCGCGTGTGAGGGTGAGCGTGGAGGGGGGGTGTCGGTTGGTGGTGGAGGATGGAGTAGCGGTGGTATACCACATGATGGACAACAGGAGAGAGGTGCACAATAAGGGGGAGGATTCCGGCGTGGAGCAAGGGGAAGGGGAAGAGGAGGAAGTGAAGGATGATGGTGAAGAGACGAGGATGTCAGGAGCGGTGGAGGAGGGTGCTACTGCGATAGACCGAGCGCGAGTCAATTCAGGGGAATCGGCCATGTGCTTAGAAGACAAAGAGGACGACGAGGAAGAGGAGGAAGAGGAGGAGGAAGGGGCAAGCGGCGAGGGGCGGTTGGAGTTTGAGCTGCAGTGGGCGGAGCTACTGGAGGAGGTGGTGCAGCTGGATCAAGGCACTGCGCTGGGGCCACTGCTCAAACGCCTCTCTGCTGACTGGGAGGGGCCTGCCGCTGCTGCCACGGCTGGCATGCTTAGTGTTGTGCAGGTGCTTGTGGACCATGGGGTGCTTGAAATAGTGGGCTAGGTGGCTCGCCTGCTTGCAGCAGTTGCATCGAGCCTTGGTTATAGCGGATGTACAGCACAGGTAGATTGGCTTCATTCATAGGTTTGTTCAAAAGTGTGTGATGAGGTGTATTTTGTGTTGAGTTGGAAATGCGTTAGGCCTGGATATTTAGACGTTGTTAGCAAGTCATGGCTGGTGGCAAAAAGCTGCAGCCGATAATGTGCAACACTGTATAGTCGTTGGCAATACTACACTAGGGGCTCTGATTCTGGATACTTCGTGGGACAGCACAAGAAGCACATGTTCCTGGAGTGATAAAGTTGGGTGGGTGTTAGGAATTCAGTAATGCTGACAAAGTCCTAAACATGCATCCACCCGTGTACTCTGTAACGCGGTTTTACCTGACAACCTGGCCGGGAAATGTGGTGAAACAGCTGGCGCAGGTGGCGCAGCGACATCCTCTGCCTGACATCGTTTGATTATTGTGTCGCAGGCAGTCAGGCCCAGTCGGTGCGCCGGAGACGTCGGTGACTCGGTGGAGACAGATTCAATTCGCAAAAATCAGTAACTCTGCGCGAATTCTCGCCAGATGATTCCGATGCTTGGCCGACCACCAAGGCGACGATTCGGAATTTTCGGCCAATCACTCTATTGCGCGACAGCCTCGATTGGGGCTCCCTTGTTGATCCGGCAGGTTCCTCCCTGAGGTCGAATGCTGCTGTTCTACAGAACATCAACTGAAACTGAGCCGCTATGGTACCTTCTATTACCCCACTGAACCGCGTTATTCGACGAGTTTTCCGAAATGACACCATGGCTAAAAATGATGTACCAAACGGTTTAGTACCATATTCATTGACAAGAACGAGGCCTCAGGATTGCGCCCATGTCAAGAGTTTGGATTGCAGGGTCCAGAGGGAAAGGCACTGCGCCATGCAGTAGGATAGTTGAACCTACAAATTACCAGTTTACCACGCCACAATGCCTCCTTCTGAAGCGCTTACACATCGAGGCTCTTAGTAGACAAGCAGGCGAGAGCACGATAAGCGCGCCACGGCCCATTGTTGAACTCTTTACCGCGATCCGACAGTCGAATAGGTGTCACAAACCTTACCAGACTAAGAAAGAAGATCACTTTGCTTGTGTTTTCATACCGACGTCACCACGTTGCGTATGATGGCCCCTCCTCTAGAGTTTCGACGCAACCTTTTGGTGGTGCCATGTCTCCTCCTCGCCCTCTCACTCTGCGCCACCACGCCTCTCGCTACCACGTCCCAAGTAAGCACCTCCCCGTCGGCCCCACCTGGCCCCCTTGTTAGGCACTCCGCTGCATTCCACCGCACTCCGCCGCACTCGCCGCGTGAATTGTGGCAACCGAGTACCCGCCGCTCAAATGGACCGAACGGTCTCCGCGTTAATGGGCGAAACGGTATCGACGCGAGACACGATTCTGGATGCCGTGTTTTCCCAACTCCTCGGATGGCGTCGCGTTGTACGTGCGGATGCCCCGGCGAGAGGACACCACGGGCTCGAAAGCGATTCATTGCCGAGAAGATATCACGACCCGCTATTGCGTCGCTCCCGACTGCCCTGTTAAAAGCTGCCGCTTGCGTTCCCTCTTCGCCGCGCCTTGCGCGCCGCTTCTCGAGCGCCCGCCGCGTCCCGCTGGCCTCTTCGGCGCCTCCTCTATTCGCCAATGCCATCTTATCCGCATTATAGGCACGGTCGCACACCCGCCGTTTGCGCTCCGCAAATCTCGGTCTCCAATCGCCGTCCCTACTAGCTACTGCCTCCCGCCTCCCGCCCTTTCCACGTCCACTCCTTCCGCCTTCTGCCGCAACCTGCTCCTTCCTCGAAGCCTCGCAGATCTCCTCCCCGCACCCACGTGCACTCAGCATGTAACCTCTCCGCGTCGCCTGTCCATCGCTCTCGCTCTCTCCAACGTTCATCTTCGTGCAAGAACCCGCTTTTCGCATACCCATCTGCTCACCCCCATTCTCTCCCATTTTCTCCCCTCTCCACCCCCTCCCCCCGTTTCGTCCCCCCTTCCCCTCTTCCCCGCACTCTCCTGCGCAGTCCGCCCGTTCTCGTGCGCCCTCGCCCGTCGCCACGTGGCGCGCAGTGCGCGAGGTGCTGCCGCCGGCCGGGGGGCGCTGGCAAGCGCCGTGGATGGGGGGAGGCGGAGGCGGAGGCGGAAGCGGCGCGGCGGTGCACGGGCTGGGTCACCGCGCGCTGAGAGAGGGCATAGAGCGGCAGGTGCGATGCGGGGAACAGGCATGACGATGGGGGTTGATTGGGGGGCGGGGGGGAAGCGAGCACCAAGGTGTGACATTGCTGGAAAGAGAGGTGGTTGGGGAGGGGGGATTGGGTGGGGAGGAAGGGTGGGTTGAACAGAGGAGCTGAGAGGTCGGCGGAGCGGAGAGGGTGAGCGAGGGGTATGCGAAATGAATTTATGGCTGCTACAGAGTTGCCTTGCTTGCCCCAATCGCGCTTTTCCTCTGCCACCCTCCCCGTCCCCGTCAGCGACCTTGCCTCTGCTCCGCTCCTATCATCCGCTTATCCTCCCTCTCCCCCCCCTCCTCCCCCTTCCTTTTCCCCGTTTCCCCCCCACCACCCTCCCCTTCCGCTCCCCCCGCCCCCCTTTCCCCCATCAGTCCGCACATTACCACGTCGACGCGTCGCACAGAGCACGCCGCCGCCTGCTCGCCGCGCACGCGCCCGCAGCCTCGGCAGCTGCGTCCGCTGTTCCGGGGGTTGGTAGTCCCGCGCGCCGCAGGCTGGGCGGAGGCGGAAGCAGCACAAAGGGCGCGGAGAAGGCTGAGAAGACGGAGAAGGCGGAGAAGAGCGGCAGCGCGAAGGACGTGGGGAAGTCGGCGCGCGACCCCAGCAGCAGCAGCGGCGGGGGGGCGGGCGCAAAGGGCGCGGGGGCTGCGGGGAGCGCGGCGCTGCAGGTGCCGGTGGGCGCGGGGAACGGCACGTCCGTGGTGCCGTACGGCATGTGGGGGCTCGCGCTGCCCACCGGGTGAGCTGCGCGCGCCGTGTGCTGGGGGCGCTTGGGAGGCGCTTGGAGGGCGCTTGGGGGGCGCTTGGGGGGCGCTTGGGGGGTTGCATGGGGAGATAATTGAGTGGCAGGGAAAGAGGGAAGAGATGCGGAAACGGAGGGATTGCGGGAGGAAAGGGGGAGGGAGGGAGGGGAGGGTGATGAAGTGTGATCCTTCTCCTCCATGCATCGCCACGGCCTCTTGCCCCGCTCGCCCCGCGCACTCCCATCATCGCCACCCGCCTGTTGCCCCCCTCCCCCCACTCGCCCTCATCGCAAGTGCGCCCTCCTCTCTCGTTCCCCCCATGCACTCTCCCCGGCCACTTTCAACCCCTTCTTTCCCCCTCATGCGCACCCCTCTCCCTCCTCCCATACACGCTCTCCGCCCTGCTTCCCCCCATGCATCTCCCCTGCTCCCCCCACCCTCGCTCCCCCCGCAGGTCGTACTACCTGAACATAACGGTGGGCACGCCGGGGCAGGAGGTGGCGGTGGTGATGGACACGGGCAGCAGCCTCATGTGGCTGCCCTGCGACTGCATCGACTGCGCTGCTGATGACTCACTCGCTGTGCGTCATGCGCTCATGTGCGGGGGGTTGTGTGGGCGGCATGTGAGAGGGCAGCGGGAGGGATGCGGCGAATGGAAGGGGTGTGCGGGGAGTGGGAGCGGGTGTGGGGGTATGGGGGACTCGGACACGGGCAGGCAGCATGCATATGTGGATGCTGTGCGATTTGCTCTGTCACATGCATGTCACCTCTGCAACCTGCTCTCACCCGCTCCTCCATCACCCCTAACCCCTCACCCACACCCCCATCCTGCTCCCCCTCCCGTTGCTCCGCTCCTAATCGTCTCCCCGCTTCCCTCCCCCGTTAGATTCCGTCTGTTTCTCTGCCATGTCTCCCTGCCATGCGCCACGCGCCATGCACCCTTGCCTCACTCTCACTCACCTCTCCACCACCACTCACCCTCATTTCCCTTCCCCGCCCCTCATGCATCCTCACGCCTCCCATGCATCCTCTAAACTATGCGTGCATCGCCCCCAGGCGACAGCGTACGACTCGTCCAAGTCACCCGGGGCCACAGTGCTGCCCTGCAGCAGCCCCCTCTGCCTCGCCGATTACACCTTCACCACCGCTCACCCCTCTCTCCCACTCCCGTCCCCCTCTCCCCCCTGTGCCCCCCCTTCCCCTGTGCGTCCCCCTCCCCCCGTGCGTCCCCCTCCCCCCGTGCGTCCCCCTCCCCCCGTGCGTCCCGCTCCCCACGTGCGCTTCCGCCTCCCCCATGTGCCCCTCCCTCCCTCCCCCCAGGCGGCAGCGTACGACTCGTCCAAGTCACCCAACTCGTCTGTGGTGCCCTGCAGCAGCCCCCTCTGCCTCGCCGACTACACCTTCGGCTGCAACCGCTTCGACGCCCCCCCCGCCCCGCCCCCAGCGCCCTCCTCCGGGGGCCTGCTGGGGGGCCTCCTGGGCGGGGGCGCGGAGGCGGGGAGCGCGGGGGAGGGCGGGGCGGAGGGCGCGGATGGGGAGTGCGAGTTTGTGTACTCGTATGCGGACAACAGCAGCACGAGCGGGCGCGTCATGATCGACACGCTCGACCTGCCCACTGTGGCCGATGGCATGGTCAAGGACAAAATGCTCTTTGGGTGGGCCCCTCTCACCTGCCCTACCCTGCCCTGCTGTGCTCTGCTGTGCCTTGCCATTGCCTTGCCCTCCCCCCCTCGACCCGTGCTGCCTTGCCGCATTGTGTGCTTGCTATGCCACGCCATGCCTCATGCCTTGTCGTGTTCCATGTCATGCTGCAAGTGATGCCACGCCATGCCCTGCTGCTTGCTGCTGCCCCTGCAAATCTCCCTTAGTGTCCGCTCCCTTCACCTGCGGCCCTTGCTACTTCCCCTTGTGCTGTCCGCTCCATGCGCCTCTCCTCCCCTCCTCCTCCCCTCCTCCACCCCTCTTCCACCCCACCTCCCCACCCCTCACTGCATCTCCTTCTCCACCCCCAAACCAAACCCCTCCCAACTCTCCATTGTTAGAAATAGGCTGTCAACACTTTGTGTACTCTTTTATATGGTTTAGGTTATTTGCGGGTTGGGTGTAGATTTGTAATCCCAACCCTATCTGGTTGGGATTCCCTCGTAATCCTGCAAATCTGCCAACTCACCAATTGGAGATTTGCTAGGATTCCCATCCCATCCTGTCCCTAGCTTTGCTCAACCCAACCTTGTTTGTACTTAAGGCCTAGTGCCTTCTTGATCAATCAATCAGTTCAGCTCCGATTCTATCATCCATCTCCTCCCACCCCACTCTCGCCTCACCTCCCTCTTCGTCCTCTCCACCCCTCCCCCCCTCCCCCTCCTCCTTTTTCTCCCTCCCCCACATGGCCAGGTGCGGGCAGTACCAGGCGGGCAACCTGGCCAAGTCGAGCTACATCTACGGGCTGATGGGCATGGGAGTGGGGCCCATCTCGCCGCTCACGCAGCTGTACACGGCGGGGCACGTGCCCTTCGCCTTCTCCTTCTGCTTCGACTCCGCCAACGACACGGGCTCGCACCTTGTCTTGGGTCGCACGCCACCGCCCCCTGCTCTGCGCTCCACCACCCTCCTGCCCAACGACCGGTACGCTGGGGATGGCAGAGGGGAGTGGTGGAGGGTGGAGGGTGGAGGGTGGAGGGTGGAGGGCCCAAGGTGGTGGGTGGCGGGTAGTGGAGGGCGTGTCGAGGAGAGTGGGAGTGAGAGGTGCGCGCATGGGAGCATGCAGGGGTGGCGTGGGGGAGGTGCATGGAACGAACAAGTTCATGTTACACAGCTCGCATAGCTCGCATCTCGCACCTAACACTGTTACACACACAACTCGCTCCCCATCACCTGTATCCCGCTGCTCTCCCATGCCCCCTCTCTCCCTTCCGCTCTCCCTGCCCCTCCCACCTACCCCTCCCACCTACCCCTTCACCCCTCGCCCCTAGTGCGCGCAGCCCGTTGTGCTTCATCCACGTGGTGCACATGAGTGTGGAGCCCGCCACGCTGCCTTTGAGTCGACTCTAAACACACCTGTGCCTCCATGTCCCCTCTCTCCCCGCCCTTCCCACCCACCCTCTGCACCCGTGGCCCCTGTCACCCCGCGCATGCAGCCCGTTCTACTTCATAGACGTGGTGCGCATGAGCGTGGAGGGCGCCACGCTGCCCGGCAGTGAGAACCTCGCGCCCACCAACGCCACGCAGGCCGCGCAGGGAGCGGGGGGGAGCACGGGGGGCGCAGAGAGCAGGGGCGGGGTGATCGTGGACTCGGGCACCACGCTCACCATCCTGCCCTCCGACCTCTACGCCTCCGTGCTGCAGACTGTGAGTGCGCATCAGGGGAGGGCGTGGATGGGGTGGGGTGGGGGCAGGGGGGACGAGGGCGAGAAGTGGGGAAGGTTGGGGGTTGCACAGGGCAAGAGCACCACGCTCACCGTCCTGCCATCCAACATCTATGCCTCTATCCTGCCTGCACATTGGGAGCAGGGGCTGGGGGGACGTTTGCATGGGGGGTTGTGAGTGGGACGGTGGAGGAGGGAGGGGGAGAGGGGAGGTCGATGGGGAGGAAGAGGCGGGCTGGCAGGCAGGCAGGCAGGCGGGCAGGCGGGCAGGCAGCACAACACACATAACACAGTGCCACGACATGTCTGCACTGCTGACCTCGTGTCTACTGTTGAGGCGGTTAAAAAATGGACCCCCTCACCTCACGTCGCTCCACTTGGCCTCACCTGACCTCAGGTGTGTGTGAGAGAGCCCCCCTGCCCGGGCACGGCCGCATGAGAGCGCGCTGCATGGCACTCGCCCCGCACCCCCGAGATCCTCCTCCACTCTACACCTCGCTCGCCCACCATACCTCACCTTGGCATCCCTGTGTCCCCCCTGTCCCCTGTGCTGTGCTCCTTCTGCTCCCCTTCCTCTCCTGGCCCGTGTGCTGTGTTCCCCCTGGTGGTGTGCGTGTGTGCGTGTGTGAGTGCGCGGCAGGTGTTTGCAGGGCAGGAGGTGTTCTTTGTGCCCGAGCTCAACCTCGACTGCATTGTACTCGGGTTCTTGTGAGTGCACCCTCAGGGGGGCAGGGGGGCAGGGGGGAAGGGGGGCAGAGGGGGCAAAGGGGGTAATAGGGACGGGTTCAAGGGGGCAGGGGGGTAACAGGGATGGGGGCAAGGGGACAGGGGGGTAACAGGGAGGTGGGCAGGGCGGAGTTGAATGAAAGGAGAGGTGTGGTGCTCATTGGCATGGCAGTGCGGTCGCACGGCCAATTCCTGCCATCCCACTCGCCTGCCCTCGTCATTGCCTGCCCTCGTCATTGCCTGCCCTCGTCATTGCCTGCCCTCGTCATTGCCTGCCCTCGTCATTGCCTGCCCTCGTTTGCTGGTGCTCGGTGGTTCATCTCTGCATGTGCATATGTGTGTGTGTGTGTGTGTGTGTGTGTGTGTGTGTGGGTGTGTGTGTGTGTGTGTGTGTGTGTCTGTGTGTGTGTGTGTGTGTGTGTGTCTGTGTGTGCATGCGCACGTGTGTACGTGCATGCGTGCGTGCCCCCACCACCAGTGATGGTGCGCCCCCAGCGTTCCCGGTGATCCACATGGAGATGGCAGACGGGGCCGTGTGGAGCATCCCCTCCTCCAACTACCTCAGCCGCTTCGTACGCCCCACACTCACACGCCCTGCACACTCACGCCCCACACTCTCACGCCCCACACTCTCAAGCCCCACACTCTCACGCCCCACACTCTCACGCCCCACACTCTCACGCCCCACACTCTCACGCCCCACACTCTCAAGCCCCACCCTCTCACGCCCCACACTCTCACGCCCCACACTCTCACGCCCCACACTCTCACGCCCCACACTCTCACGCCCCACACTCTCACGCCCCACACTCTCACGCCCCACACTCTCACGCCCCACACTCTCACGCCCCACACTCTCACGCCCCACACTCTCAAGCCCCACCCTCTCACGCCCCACACTCTCACGCCCCACACTCTCACGCCCCACCCTCTCACGCCCCACCCTCTCACGCCCCACACTCTCACGCCCCACACTCTCACGCCCCACACTCTCACGCCCCACACTCTCACGCCCCACACTCTCACGCCCCACACTCTCACGCCCCACACTCTCACGCCCCACACTCTCACGCCCCACACTCTCAAGCCCCACCCTCTCACGCCCCACACTCTCACGCCCCACACTCTCACGCCCCACACTCTCACGCCCCACACTCTCACGCCCCACACTCTCACGCCCCACACTCTCACGCCCCACACTCTCACGCCCCACACTCTCACGCCCCACACTCTCACGCCCCACACTCTCAAGCCCCACACTCTCACGCCCCACACTCTCACGCCCCACACTCTCACGCCCCACACTCTCACGCCCCACACTCTCACGCCCCACACTCTCAAGCCCCACCCTCTCACGCCCCACACTCTCACGCCCCACACTCTCACGCCCCACCCTCTCACGCCCCACCCTCTCACGCCCCACACTCTCACGCCCCACACTCTCACGCCCCACACTCTCACGCCCCACACTCTCACGCCCCACACTCTCACGCCCCACACTCTCACGCCCCACACTCTCAAGCCCCACCCTCTCACGCCCCACACTCTCACGCCCCACACTCTCACGCCCCACACTCTCACGCCCCACACTCTCACGCCCCACACTCTCACGCCCCACACTCTCACGCCCCACACTCTCACGCCCCACACTCTCACGCCCCACACTCTCACGCCCCACACTCTCACGCCCCACACTCTCAAGCCCCACACTCTCACGCCCCACACTCTCACGCCCCACACTCTCATGCCCCACACTCTCATGCCCCACACTCTCACGCCCCACACTCTCACGCCCCACACTCTCACGCCCCACACTCTCATGCCCCACACTCTCACGCCCCACACTCTCATGCCCCACACTCTCATTCCCCACACTCTCATGCCCCACACTCTCACGCCCCACACTCTCACGCCCCACACTCTCACGCCCCACACTCTCACGCCCCACACTCTCATGCCCCACACTCTCACGCCCCACACTCTCATGCCCCACACTCTCATTCCCCACACTCTCATGCCCCACACTCTCACGCCCCACACTCTCACGCCCCACACTCTCACGCCCCACACTCTCACGCCCCACCCTCTCACGCCCCACACTCTCACGCCCCACACTCTCACGCCCCACCCTCTCACGCCCCACCCTCTCACGCCCCACACTCTCACGCCCCACACTCTCACGCCCCACACTCTCACGCCCCACACTCTCACGCCCCACACTCTCACGCCCCACACTCTCACGCCCCACACTCTCAAGCCCCACCCTCTCACGCCCCACACTCTCACGCCCCACACTCTCACGCCCCACACTCTCACGCCCCACACTCTCACGCCCCACACTCTCACGCCCCACACTCTCACGCCCCACACTCTCACGCCCCACACTCTCACGCCCCACACTCTCACGCCCCACACTCTCACGCCCCACACTCTCAAGCCCCACACTCTCACGCCCCACACTCTCACGCCCCACACTCTCATGCCCCACACTCTCATGCCCCACACTCTCACGCCCCACACTCTCACGCCCCACACTCTCACGCCCCACACTCTCATGCCCCACACTCTCACGCCCCACACTCTCATGCCCCACACTCTCATTCCCCACACTCTCATGCCCCACACTCTCACGCCCCACACTCTCACGCCCCACACTCTCACGCCCCACACTCTCACGCCCCACACTCTCATGCCCCACACTCTCACGCCCCACACTCTCATGCCCCACACTCTCATTCCCCACACTCTCATGCCCCACACTCTCACGCCCCACACTCTCACGCCCCACACTCTCACGCCCCACACTCTCACGCCCCACACTCTCACGCCCCACACTCTCACGCCCCACACTCTCCCACTCCTTGCCCCCTGCGACCACACATGCATCTTCTCCCACATCCTGCCCTCTCTCTCTTGCCATCAATACCAGCACCCTTGCCCCACACCGTTGTTCTCCCCATCCCTCATTGCCATTTTCTGTTCTGTCCATTTCCCAATAATTACCCCCACCCCGCACTGTATTCCTGCTCACCTCATGCGCCTCCACTGTCTCTCTCTCACCCGCCCACACTGGCCCCCCACAACGATGGGTTCCACCACTACCAATGTGCCACCCGTGCCTTCCTCTTCTCGCCCACCCTTTCCCTTCCACTCCCCCACTCTCTTCTCCCCCCACAATCCCTCCTGCGCCCCCCTCCCTCTCCCCCGTTCTCCCCGCTCTCTCTCCCTCTCCCCCCAGGACGACGGGTTTGACCAGTACTACTGCGCTACCATGATGTCTTGTGAGTCGACTCACACGTCACCTCTCACCCCCCCACACACACCCGCCCATCCGCTCTCTTCCCCCAGGACGACGGGTTTGACCAGTACTACTGCGCCACCATGATGGCTGCGCCCGACAACTTCCCCGTCTCCGTCATCATTGGCGGTGCGTGCACGCTGCCGGGGATGAGGGCACTTTGTGGAGAGGGAGGGGGAGTGGGAGGGGGAGTGGGAGGGGGAATGGAAGGGGGAGTGGGAGGGGAGTGGTTTGCGTGAGGTTGTGTGGGGGAAATGGGTGCGCACGGAGCCTTTTGCAATTGGTCTCATGTCTGGTTGTGTGATTGTTTGTGCTGACACGTGCTTGTGAACACTTCTGTGTGTACGTGTGTGTGTGCGAGCATCAGAGACATGGGTACAGGACACATACATCTCGGTGGACATCGAGAAGAAGCAGCTTGGATGGGCTCCTCTCAACTGTAACCTCTCCTCTCCTCCTGCCCTCTCTGCTCCCCCCACCTTCATCCCTCCCTCCCTCGCTCCGTCATCTTCCCCTTCTTCGCCCGGCCTCCCATTGGCTCGTCCCATCATAGAACGTGCAACCACTGCACACCACAGAGTACCACCCTGCTCTACTTCTCATCTGTTCTTTTGTTCTTACTCCGATTTCATGCCACCACACAGCACCACCTCCACTCTACAGCCTGCACGACCTGCACGGATGAATTGCCTCGCTACCCGCTGTGCATCTGTCTGCACCTTCCCTGCCGCACACATGCACGCCACTCTCCTTTCGTGCAAACCTCAAGTCCAGCCATGCTGCTTGCCTACACTCCTCTCATGCTAAACTCTCCCTCCCGCTATACCCCCCTTCACATACACGCCCTCCCTTTCCCATTCCCTCACCGCTACCCTCCACCCAACTCCCCTCTCCCCCACGCCCCACTCGCAGGTTCATCGGGCGAGTACCTGACGTTCAACTACACGCGAGACCCCTTTGCCGACATGACCTATCTGCAGCCCCCTCCACCCACTGCCGCCGCGGCTCCGCCCTCCTCGGCCTCTTTGCTGCCCGCGTGGGCCAACCCCCTCGCCTCTGCAACCCCAGCACCCCCCTCCAACGACTCTTCCAACTCCTCCGCGCCCTGTCAGTGCCCCGTCCTTCTCTTACACTCCCTTCACCCCTTCACCACCCACCCTTCTCCCCCTCACGTCCTGCTGTTCTCTCTTGGTTTCTCTACGGGCTTGCGCTCTCCCAACTGCACCTGCTCGTAATCTCTTGCTGTCCTTTCTTGCCTCCACTGTCGCCATGGCTTCTCTGCTTTTCCTCGCTACGCTTGCTTGGTGTCGTTTCACAATGCTTTCACACCGAGTTGACTCTTTAGTCGACCCAATGTCATTCTCCTGTTTGCTCGCCTGTGTTTTTGCCTTTCCTCTTGTGTCCGTTTCTTCTCCTCTCTTCTTTCCGGTCCACCATTGTCCTCTTACATGCTATCCTTCTTTCCTTGTTGTTCCCTTTCCTCGTCTGTGAATCTCCTCTTCCCACTCTGTGCGTGCTTATTGCAGGGTCAGCATCCATATGGAAAGGTAACATCTGATACTGTCCCCTGTTTCCTTTCCCTCACTGCTTCATTTTTTTCAATTCACATTTTGTGTACTGTGCTGTTTTGTTGTAGTCGCATGCGCACGCTCTTTCATTTGTGAGGTATGTGCTCGAGGTTCATTTCAGCTCTGCATGATACCGTACTCACATGTTCCTGCAAAGGCTTGTTACTGTTGCACAAACCACTACCGTACCGTACGCCCATCCATCCATTTCCGTTCTGCCTGTGTGCAGGCTCTCACAGTTGCTTTGTCGTCGCGCCACTCTTCCGTGCCGGCTGTGCAGTTGCTGCCTTGCTGCTGCTGCTGCTTTTATAATAGATTGTTTAACCTGCCAGCCACCCAGCGTGCAAATCCATATGGGAATGCATGCCCGTGGGATGTGTATTTATAGTGCAGCAATTTCTCTTGTGAACCATACGGTAGTGAAAGCCACCGTTCAATCCGAAGGTTCACAATCGCCGATAGGTATATTTCCCCGTGTTAGGCGTGCGTGCGTGTTTGAGTTTGTGTGTGTTGATCAGAATGAGAGAAATGACTACTAAAGGGCATAAAGAGGGCACAAACAGGAAATTGTACCCTCTACAATACAATTGAGTTGCAATGTTGGTCTAGACTTGCAACTATGGCTGAACGCTTGCAAAACTTGAGTTGCAATGTTGGTCTTTCTCTCCTACATATAATGTTCTATGTGACTAGATTGAAACACTATCGTCTCTTTTCTCAACACTAGTAATCTTGCCCTGCGCGCCCCGCAATCTGGGCCTAGAGCCCCGCAATCAACAATAAAAGGGATTTGTTCCGCCACAAACCTGCAGGCACAACCTGCGGGGAACACGCCTGTTGGAATGTTTTGCCCCAGGGAAGTTGGGGACGTTGCTTTTCCAAGAGGTGACGTCCGTTGTCCTGTAGTGTGGCTAATATCTTCTGATTGTGACTAATGATGGGTTTAGGTCAGGAGGCAAACATATCTCAAATGACAACCAGCTCCCTCCGATACCTGCCCCGGGCAAAAAAACATGTTTCTCATGGGACAGTGATTCCGCATCAACTCACGCCTTGCCGCAAGGTGCGACGCATGGGCCGGAGCCGACAGTCCATACCCTGTGGTGGTTGAGAGCCAGGTTACTGTACCAGCGAGAAGGGTGGAAGCTGCGCCAGGTTACTGTACCAGCGAGAAACACGCTCGCGGAGACTAGGCCACCTGTACACCCAGGGCGGGTCGCGAAATTTCTTTAGAGTTCATGTATGAATGTTCAGGTTGGTGAGCAGCGGTTCAAAGTGATAAAGCGAGAAAATTGCTGGGCGGGTCCAGCGTGTTCGTCCCTTGTTCGTTTTGTGCGGTTTCTCGTGTTGCGTCACGGTGCAAAACAGTGAAACTTGATCACCGCTGTGCACCGTCTGGAATCGTCTTGCGCCATGACGAATGAATTTTAAACGAACTCACTGGACCCGCCCAAAAGTGCACACATCCAACCTCTTTTCACCTGCCAACATGCGTGAGACACGCTGGCTTTCTTCAGATTTGAGATCATCACAGACCTGAATTCCTCCGAACCACAATCACGAGGGAGTGCGGAATGCGAGTCGCGACTATAGAATGTGGTTTCCGAGGTTGGGCTGGGCAGTCACATCACCACTCTCCGAAGTTTGGACAGCTGCTGTTGTGCAGGAAAAACTACTTCGCGTGCCCTCAGCTGATGAAACCAAGCACGAGCACTGGGTATGTACCTTTTTTTCCCCTGGCGAAACCTTTTTTTACTAGAGTTGGCTCGTTTTCTTGTTCCACAAACGAGTACCTCGTCCAGCTGCGCGGCTACTAAATTAGAAACGGCAAAATCCGCAGCGGATTTGCTTGTTTTTCAGTAAACTAGGCTGTTCCGATCTCTGAGTCTACTCGGTACGTGTCGCATCGCTTGGATATTATTGCGGACGAGATGGAGAGTGCACTGTGTTGTAGCGAAGAGCCGTTCGGAGTAGTGGGCTTGGCAGCTGACGGCGTTCAGCTGTTGCGCGAGGGCGGTTGGTCGCATAGCAGCAGGAGCAGCAGCAGCAGCAGCTTGAGCAGTCTCAACGCAGGCCGGGACATTGGGATCGAGTGCGGCAGCAACAGTGACAGCGACTCGCTGTCGGACAGTGATGGCAGTGATAGCAGTGGCTACTCGAGCGGGCTGGCAGAAGAAGGGGCGGAGCGGGCCAAGAAGCAGCATGCGGGAGGGTCGTCGTGTGAAGAGGCATCATTGGCCCGCCCTGCCCATCCCGCTGCTTTGCATGGTGCGTCCAACCACCATGCCTTTCCAGGAGCCACAATTCCACGAAACCACGACACTCATGCAACCATCTTTCTCTACTTGGTCAGTGCCCCCCATGCCTCCTTTTCCTTCTCCCTCGCAAAGAAAAGAGTGCCAAAATACCGCGGTCTGCCAGCAATCTCGCCGCTCTCGCGGGTGTGAAGGCCGTCCAATCCCCGCCTCCATTTCGCGCCCCCCCGACCTCCCATCGTCCGTCTCCTCCCTGCCCCGCAGCCCTGTACTGGACATTCGTGTTCAACTGCTTTAGCGAGCAATCGTGGCGATTTGCAGGGGCAGCTTTGCTCGCGTTATTGCATCAATCGATACTGCCCGTGGCTGTGGCCCGATTCGCTAGCCAGGTCAGCACATCATGCACTCGCCCGGCATGCATCTACCCATTCCAAGCTCACGCAGAACCATGCGCAAGCGCAACGCGTCGTCGATCTCTCCCGAAATGTCCTTTCCTCGTGCCTTGGCCTTCACCTGCTTCCAGCACCCTGCTTGCCGTCCCACCTCTGCGTTCTCCCATCTCTTCCCTTCTTCTCAACTTCCGCTTGCCCCCACCGTACCGTCCACCCCCTTGTTGCGTGTCCCCCGCGACGCGCAGCTGGTGGCGTGTGTGGCGGCGCCACTGGTGGGCGACCTCTTGGACTCCGCGCCCAGGGTGCCCGCCCTCACAGCCATCCTCGTCGCGCAGGTCACCCCATCGCACGCCACCACCCCACCTACACTGCTCTGCTCGCCTTATTCTACGCTCTCCTCCCTTTCCGCCATCTCGCCATGGCGTCAAGTCGCGCCCACCCCCTCCTCACTTTGCCCCACTCGTGCGCCCATCTCTCACCCCGCGCCTGCGCGCAGAGCAGCGCCATCATGGTGGGAGCAGCAGCCACCATGCACGCGCTGCACCTCGCCTACCCTGCTGCCGTTGCACCTGCTGCCGCGGATTCAGCCGCCACATCATCTGCCACGTCAGCGCTGTCGGCACTGCCCGCAGCGGCGGTGCTGCAGCAGGTGTGGTTCGTGGTGCTGTTGGTGGCGGGCGCGGTGGAGCGCGTGATGGGGCTGGTCACGGGCGTGGCCGTGGAGATCGACTGGGTCCTCGTGGTGAGTGCGCGCCCTGCTCTCCCTCGCCTGCCCTCTCTCCTATCTCGCCTAAGCATGGGCGCAAGGACGCATGAGTGCGTGGGTGCATGCCTGTAACCGTTTACGTGTGAGTGTGTGTATTCTAGCATAGAACCGCAGTATGCTCAAAAGCATCTTGGACGTAGGGTTAAGGGTTATATCAGTTGCTGCATGAGGTACAGCGTGTCGTACAAGTTCACCCCAATGCGGTGGGGTTGAATAGTTGCGTGGGACGGGGGTGTTCCGTTTACTCTTTCGGACGTCTACATGGGGTTCAGAACATTAAAACAACACATATGGCACATTTCTAACATGATAAGAAATGGAATGGAGGGCAGTGAGGCGACTACTAAATGGGGATAGATGCAAACGGGTGTTTAGATGCGAGTGTACATGCGTGCGAAGTGCCTCACAATCGCCTTTGACCTCTCTCCCATCCCACCCGGTGCCCCGGTCAGCTGGTGGGAGAGGGTCGGCCGGAGCTCATGGCGACGGCCATGGCCACGCTGGGGAGGATCGAGCAGTTCGGCGAGGTGAGCCCACCTGTGCCCTGCACCGCTCGCTTCTGCTGCACACGCCATGCACCCCGCCTTGTTTGTCCGTTCTTGCCCGCTGAGCCTAGTGCGACATGTGCTGCCTTCACACTAGCGTGCACCTTCA